CGCACATGCAGCGGTGCCGAATTTTAATTTTTCGTAACTTTTCCCATATATTCCAAGTATTTATTAACGCGAGTMGTATATATTTGCCAAAATGGCCACCCCGTTTTGGAGATTTAAGGGCATGCTAGGGTGGCAGTGAACTTGCTATAAATGTACGTTATGTATAGGAATTAATCGCACGACCTTGAGTACAATTTGGAATTCATAGTCACGAGTAATGTTTTGAGTGACTATTAATCTTAAATTGTAGAGTGCACGTCACATAAGCATGAAACAATTCTTAATATGTATTGCTAAATAAGATTTAGTTATCAACTAACTAAGAATTCAACAAAGCATAAACACAATGCCACTGATTATTTAAATTTCTTTGTAGCATTGTTCTCAATTCTTAGTTAGTTGATAACTAATTCTTATTTAGCACTACATAGTTAAGAATTGTTTCATGCTTATGTGACTTGCACTCTATGAGAGGTTGTGCGATTTTTTGTTTATAGTATATTCAGTGAAACACTAATTTTATAAGGAGTACAATTAACGCTGTAATCGTACTCCTCTCGACCAATGACAAAGTATTATTTTGTTGTATGTACTCACTTAAGTAGTCTGATTCAATGAAACAACAGTTTTTTACCTAGTTTAAATTTTATTTCATTATTTAGTACCAGTAGAACGTATTTACAATATATTTACAACCAGTATATAATCAACCTTCAGCCAACCAACACGGAACTGCCTGCAGTTAGAGGCTGTTTAAAATGAGCACAGCTCAAAAATAACAATAAATTAACTCAATTTAGTTTTCTTCTCGAAGATGCACAGATAAAACACGCCGTCAAAGTAGTAGACARTCATCGTTTTCTCGTTTCATTTCTCACGGTTTGAACGACCAATCTAACTTTCATAACGAGATGAAATTGTGCATTTTTTATCTGTGCAAAAGTTGCAAAACAATTTCCATTTCCGAGGATTGCTTGTAACAATAAAATATACAAACCCCAAGAAATTTTCAGAAAAAGTCTTGTAGACAGTTATTGAAAAAATAACTAAAAAATTAACTTGTACAAAAACCGTTTTAACGCCTTACTTGAAGTCGCCCACACAGACAAAGATCCGCTTACCCTGGGCAACAATTGGGAATTACMAGGCTATTACTGGTATTAAAACCTGTGTATGTAGTACTAAATACAAAACGTGATATTCTTTAGGCTTTGAATGGTGAACAATTATCACCGAAATTACAAAACAAGAAAGTTTCCTCGAAATTTTCCTATTGAAATCCTCYTAACAATGAAGCAAAGGGATGGTCTTAATTTTTTCTCAAAAGAAAACGCTRAAATTGATAGTAATAAACGATATAAAGGAAAACAGAGGAAACTATCTTGTGTATGGCTCACAGACACCATTACGTGTCGGTCAATAATTTTCGTCGCGAGTATAAAGCCCATATAGCAAGACAACAATAAAAATATTCCGGCTATACATATATGGAGATGGAAAATACCTCCACAGAATATAAATAGTATTTTACATTATTGATGAATTGCCTGTAGACGTACAGTCTCACCATAAATTATAATAAATTAAAACTGACTCTCACTAACAGAGGTTCAACCCTGCATTCTATCCCAAACGCGAATTGCAGAGAAATCTAAAGAAGCCTCTGGTAGCAAAGCCTACATTATAAGCACTGTATGCCGTGAGATCATTGGTGTTTGTATTATTTATACTATCTCCGTCAAATAATAATTCCTCCCATCTCTATATACCGACAAACTCAACAGTCTACCCAACCCAATCTCTTAAAAATCTTCACCAACACCGCTATGGCTCGTGTGAAATCCGTGATGTGTCGTACTAGTTTCTCAGTGAAGTCGTACTGGTATCGTAGATTTCGGAGCAGCATCGTACTAATGTCGGACAATTATCGTACTTAGTGTTGCATATCGTGCTTGTGATCGTCATCGGGTCGCTTTACGTGTGTTTTCATGTGCGCCGACCGACTTTTTATCTTGTGGAAGATTCTAGAAAGATATACAATATGGTTATTAATTTTCACAGCCCCCAAACACCAACGCGACGTGCGGAAGTAAATCAAAGCATGCAACATGAGTCCAAAATATTAATTATTGTTTTAACACTAAAAATAAATCATCATAAAAAGATTAATGACTAAGAACTTTAACATGGAGCGCTGCTTTCAACGAGAAAAATGACTGGGGAAGGGGGGGGAGGGGAGGTTTGTGACAATAATTGCAGTATTACCTTCCACACACTTTGCAGGCGTATTCTGGTAAAGGACCTCCTTCTACTAATGGCTGTGGCATTGGTTGCGGAACGTACGGTTTGCGTGGTCGTTTAACTACAACTGGTTCGCCATCTTGCGTAGTTGTGGTTGTGGGATTTCGTCTTTTTCTGGGCTCGTTTGGTTTCATAAAGCTAAAAACACAAAAACTTYAATCAAAAACCTCACCTTTCAACGTCTGAAACTGAAATCATTTATACTAAATTTTTCTTATCAATCAATCTCCACGTATTTAGTAGAAAGGAATATTCCMCTCAAGCCCTGCACGTTTTTAAGGCGGGAAACTGTCGCCGAAAGACAAAACATTAGACCGCACAAACAAATATAGAAATACTGAGGTTTATCTTTGTAATGTCATTTGAACATGGTAAAAACAAGAAAACATTATCCAATGAACACTGATAATTGAGAGATCAAAATGATAACGGAATTGAAAAACACTGAATTAAAAAAAAACAATGCACTTTATTTCCTGCTATTGCTCGACAAAAATGCGCTTTCAAACACATGTCATTCTCACTTGGACATACTTAGAGAATAAATAATATTGTATCGTGTTGTTTTGATTTATCTCTCGTTAATGAGCGGAAAAATGAATGATAGCGCTTTACATTGAAGGAGGAAATTACTTTTTCCATGACGACAACTTGCGTAACTCAGGAGAATGGAAAGAACAGAGTAAAAATAGGAAGACGCATTGCATTTTGGAGAGGAAGTTGGTCTAAGAATAAAACCGCCTCTTCTCCAAAGCAAAGATAGGCGGCTGTATTCGCAAGACAAATTTTAATATGACAATTATCATTGCCAAGTAACACCAGGGTTTAGTGGTTACTAAGCAACGATACGTCATCATTCAAGCAAAAGAGTTTGACTAACCTTCCTCCATGGACGCGTATATGGCCATTCAGAGCTTGCCTCGAGACGAATTTCTGTTAAATGAACGAACAAAATTAAATTTAACTTAAGATATATAAAATTCAATTTTACTTCTTGGCTGAAAACCTGCCATGGATTTTTGTGTTTTGACTAGTGGTTGAATTAGTGGTTGAAGAAAGATTAAACAAATGTTTTAACCATTAACTCTATTCCATTACTAAGATTTTACTTGCAACAATATACAGAGTGATAATTTTGCTTTAAAATGTAACTCGAATAAAATTCTAAAACATTACATGTAAGAAACATAAAAAGTGAAATAAAAATGGTAGGGAAAAATGGAAGCAACCAACATTAAAGACATTAACATTATACTTACTGCACTACATTGGGGAAAGTCACATTCAAACAGTGATGGATTGCTGTTTGTGTCACTACCAGTATCATCCTCATATTCTTCTTCTGACGAGGAATCRACATATCTTGTACGACCACGAACTGCCTCAGGATTGTTAGCCTTCCATAGGTAGTAAAACTCGACACAGTCAGCCACAGCCTTTGTACCAATCTAACAGTTATTAAATGGACATTGAGAATGTGAAAACGATGACAAATAATAATCCTAATAATGATCATACTCATGTGATTACATTAGAAATTCGTAATGTTGAAAAAAAGGTTACCTCTTTCTGGAGATCATTGAAATCTTTATTTTTGGTTCTGAATGCATTGCGGAATGTTTGTCGTTCTCTTGCTGACCACTTAACAGAACCTTGAAAAATAAATACAACAATATTATAAACAATGACTATTTTGATCTATGCTGGTGGTAATGATGATCAAGATGATAGACAGATGGACAACAAATATGACTGTGATAATGATGCAGAAGTGATGATGATGATGATGGTATAGTGGTGACAGAAAGACAGACATAAATACAGGAAGATGGATGGGATGGACAGACACAAATACAGGATGATGGATGGGATGGACAGACACAAATACAGGAAGATGGATGGGATGGACAGACTGAGTGGTTGAGTAGATGACAATCAAGGTGTCATGTATTCAACTAACCTTCATAGTGATAATCGTACATGGGATCTGATGACGAAGTGACATATTTTTTGTTTAAGAGCAACCTGACAGCTTCCTGTGAACATAAAGTTTGATATTAGAAAACACAGTCTTTTTGGAGCAATGTTCCTATGAAACTTACTTTTATATTTCCTTTTGTTCTCTGAAGAATGTGAAGGGCGTACTCTTTGTTGGARCTTCCACCAACGATTGCACATGAGGCAGACATTTCTAAAAATGCTTGGACTGAAAACACAAAAKATTTCACAATTTAAATACGTGTATAATATATTTGTAAGAAAACCAAAAAAGGATGGAGATTTGAACTATGATGTTTAGAYRAGGKCATTTYCAMAACAAGAAAAAATGCCACAACAWACATGAAAAGTCAAACAAGTACAWAAACAAAATCCTAACAGAAATAWACTCACTTTCTTGTGTTCTGCCTTTTTTCTTTTCATCCATTAAGTTCCAGACCATGGTTGCTTTATGGACATCATTCTTGGCAAATTCTTTTGGTACTGAAATGACATTTAATTAATCAATAATWACAAATTATAAATAAAGAAGTAATTTAGTGATTGTACTTACAAACTCTATCTGGGATCTTGGCCTGGAATTGTGGACCAATGTTTATTTTCCTGTAAATACAATGCAACAAAATATTTTGATTCCAAAACAAGATAAACGTTTAGGAAAGTAAAAAACACGAATTATTGTAGGAAATTAATAAGAAACAACTAATTGCATGTTGACTAAAACATCCCAGTCTACTCATAGTTGATCATTTTATATTGTTAAAATATTAAGACTTACGGCTCTGGGAAGACAACTGATTCTTCCAGTTCTCCATCGATACTTGCTGAAAATTAAAAAAGGATACAGTATAAGACAAGCTAAACGTGTAAACAGTTTTTAAATTTCAGGAAATAAAACAAGACATGTAAATATAAMATTCTTAAAATGAAGATGATAATGATGCCAGCGAGATGAGAGAGTAATTCATACTTACTTCTGCTCCGRCTGCTTAACAGGAGTCTGCTTGGAGTCATGGGTAGTTGACTAGACCTTGGTGTTAAACTCCCTGTTGCACTAACATGACTGTAAAAGCTACGAGGACTTAACATCGGTGGTGGTGTGTAAGGCGGCGAACCAGGGACAGGATGATTAGGTTGATATGTACTGACAGATGCAGGAATTTTCAGTGGTTCAGGTCTGCGACGTTGCTTTTGCCGAGGTGTAACAATCTCAGCTGGGTTTCTAAAGATTCCATTGTCTTTGGTGTCATTTTTGTGTTCTTCTGATGGGCTAGTWCCTTCTGGGACATGATGAAAGCTGTGGTCTTTCTTGGAATAGTTGGTATCTCCAGGTTTTCTTTCATATCCTTGTACACCAGGTGCGTAATGCATACCTCTTGGGTAATGTTCAACGTTGTCTCCATCTACTTCACTTGAYGTACTACTATTRCTTGGTGAACGGACATGACCAAATGATGTCTTCACATTACCCATATTACTATTGTCTGATTTGTTGTATTGGTTTGATGAATCATCATAYCTAACCTGGAGTTAAATAATAGCATAGGTCATGACAAGTAATAGACCATATTGTAAAACATGATCAAAAGAGATCTGCTTCCTAATGATTCATTGTTTATTTTCCTCTGGTTGCTTCAAAATCAAATGCACAGTTGTAATTCTATATGTACATTTTTTTATTCATTCATTCTTACATTCCATTCTTTCAGGTTTTCACTCATTGATTTTCATTCACTTATTTGTTCATTGATTCAACCTCATTCATTAGATAGTCTGTGCATTGCTTATAGATAAGTAATTGCTTAATTAGGCAATTTGCCATGTGCTGTCTTGGTGCAGAAACACACAAAAATCATTTTGCAATTGGAAATAAATTATTATATGTCGCATAGTAACATTACTTCAAAATATCTCAACGGAATCTATCTGTCAAGGTATACAGAAACTGCATATTACATAATATAATCATTACCTACGAGATAAAAAACAAAATCATATCCAAGACTTAAAATAGGTTCAATGATTTGGTAAATCTAAGATAAAATATACAATTCTAGGTAAAATGTTTTTGAAGATAGCAAGAGGTGTTTTTTATATCAACTTCTTTTCTATGTAATATTGTGTATAGCACATTTATATTGTATACAAATGTTCTTGAAATAGTAATTGAAAACATTCTTCTCATATCATTTATTTCTGGATCTACTCCAAGGCTTGTCATTTCCGACAAAAATTTTCTTGTTTAGACTGTAAAGGACCATTTCCTACAAATATTTTACACAAGTTATTCATCTTGAACTAGAAAATATTTTATTATGTCATGCAAGTTACTTGCAAAAGAGGAAATTTACAGAATTCTTTGATTAAAACACAATAATAAAAATCAAGCAAATATCTGTTCTAAAATTAGCTAGTTAASGTCAAAGCTGAACTAAAAGGCTTTCAATTCTTGTTAGTAACACAGACAAAACAGCATTTCTTTTGAGATGTCATGAAATGAGATCAAGAGATCAGAGATGAAAAAACCTTCAACTTGAGTACAGGTGCACAAAACTAAAAAACCAAAATTCAAGATCTCATTTTACTTTAATCAAAACCTTTTATACTATTTTCRTTTTCAATGKAAAAGAAAAGTGCTTTGCTAGCTTTTTACACTAGATACCTGCCTTAACCATTTTGCTGTGGTGTAGCAATATGTAAAGATCTTTGCATATGCTTATTTCCCAATCCAGCCAAAGCAAGAGCTTTAAGCTCCATTAGTATGACAAGGTACAACAAGGTTAGCAGGTTCTTCCTTGAAAAAACAGCTCTACAATTCATCCAACACCACAAGCATAAAGAGACTAGTCACATGACTAATTCAGTCAGTCATCAGGCAGAAAGAGAAACCTTTCCAAAAATATAAAATTGGAATCGATGATACAAAATGCAAATCCACCAGAATCAAGAATCTCCACAAAGAATAAGTAAGAGCCAATCAGAGAGAACTTTCTTAAAGACTGACCAATCAGAAGCAAGAGAGCTGTCATAACACAGGTGACCTGTCACTATGTTGATATAATAAAAAAACAGCTGCAAGCCTTTCAAACAATGCTTTATGAATATTTATGTTATCCATTTGACTTGAAATATATAGGAAACAGTGATAACAGACATGCAAAGATTACTAAGTAAAAATACTATATATCTACAAAATAGATGTGAGATTTTATAAAAAAAGACAGATAAAAATTATGATTAACAATCCTAATACTAAAAGCCAATCTTARTATCAAAGAAACCCTTTCTAACTTTTTTTAGAGATGAAACTTAGTTGATGGATTTGAAAATGATATAACAAAGAAAAAACTAGTGAAAATGAAAAAAAAGTTCTTTCTTTTKAAAGTCATGATATATACAAACATGATACAAGTACAGGTTCTGTGATGCAGTGAAATGAGCAATGAGGCATTCAAGGGTACAATGACACAAACTGCTAGAAAAAAAGGTGTCAATATCATCATATTAATGTAACTTTAGCAGTTTATGTGATCTCAGATTTTACTCACTAAGTGGCAGCAAAGTTTTAAATTTCTAAAGAGATTTCTTAGATTTTGGCACATTTAAAAACAAGAAAAAATAATAGTTTCTGAATATATTTCCATTTTAAAGATTGACTAAACTTTCAAATAATATATTACTATATTTACAAACTAAAATAATTACAAAAACAATAGATGAACAACTTCTGTTAAGCTAAAGCACATTATATTGCAATATTGACCAGTACCTGTGCTATTGTGTCCCCCTTTCAAGACACCATACATTATTTCTATGGTTCACAATAACACAATAGACTACATACCTGTTGCCATTGTGTCCCTGATGGATGAACACCATAATAAGCCTCTCTTGTAAACAACTGTTGTCCTATATCTTTAGCTGTTGCTATGGCAATTGCAGTTGGATCAGTAGGTGTACCAGCAGTTTGTTGTCCAGGTTGTCTTACAAACTGTACTTGAGGGGTAGACGAAGGTGAAAACTCCACTGACGGAGAGCGCTGCATTGCTTGCTTTGTTACCGTGGGTTGTTGTTTAGATTGTTCTCCATCACCATCAGTATATACCCTTGCTGGAATATTATGTCTTTGATTATTAATGATCATTGGTGTACTATGATATCCAGGCTGTGCAGCAAAGATTTGTGGATACTGATACACAGCATTAAACCTTGGGTCTTGTCCAGCAAACATTGATGGTTGGTACCATTGTGGRTACAGAAGAGAACCRTCTGAATACATGACATACTGCTGTTGTGGATATCKCTCTATATTCTGTTTTTCCCTCTGCTCTTGAGCTCTCTCTGCTGCTTGTTTTAACAARTCAATAGCTGTGTGAGGTTTGCTTTCTTCAGTTGCTTGTCTACTGTCTGCATGCTTGTCAGTATTCACCACATCTTCAGATCCTGTTGAGCTAAGACTATCACTGCTGCGTTCTCTGGCTGTTACCATAGTAGCCTGGTCACGTACAACCACAACATCATGATTGCTTCCTGGCGTAGAAGTTCCAGAGCTTTTACCACTTTCACATTCAAGAGAATCAAGACGAAGTCCATCAGGTTTGACACTTCTATCTTTAGGTGGTCGACCTCTTCCAGGTTTGATAACAACTCTTGGTGTTTCACTTGTAGCTGCAGTAGAGTTGTTTCCAGTTGTTTCTACAGCTGTAAGAGCAGGGCTGGATGTTCTACTTCCCCCTTCATTTGCTCCTTGTCCATTAGCATGGTGGTTTTCTAGGTGTCGACGAAGTGACCTCATGTCACAGTAGCTCTTGTCACAGTCTTGAAAGCTGCATTCATATGGTTTTTTGTCACGGTGCGTAACCATATGGCCATTGCTGCAAAAAATGCAATAAATGATTGTTTGAGTACACTGTATGCCATGATGTATTTAAACCTTTTATGATATTGAATCTTGTCATGGTTATGCAATCCAGATAAARTACATGGCATCACATGTATCAGATGTTGCTAATGTTAAAGGTTAAGTACCTAAAACATATTGAATATCTTAATAAGTTTACCTAAATTATGTTTGTATTTATCAGATGGAATGGTGTTATAGAATAGAATTAATGCTTATGTAATAATACAGACTGAGCAAGGTATCTGTACAGACATGTTTGTAAACATTCCTTGATTTTTGAATGAGGTCAAAAGGYAGCACTTCAAATCCCCTGGAGTTCCAAGTCTGTTTGAGGTACTCAACTACTACATCAACAAGATCTTGCACCCCAAAGAAATGCTCTTTGAAATTCTTTAGAACAGAAACACCCACAGACATCGAGGAATTTTGATGATAAGATTACTACTATAATGCTTGTGTAACACTCTACAAAAGATAAGCTCATTGTTGCAATGTCACGCAAGCTTTGCATAAATTATCTGACCCACACACAAAGCACTGTTGATTTGAACAACTGAACACATTTCTATCAAATTTTACATATTCAGAGTGACAAATAACAACTTTCAACTTACAGGTGATCTTGTCTTTTGAATCCTTTACTGCAGATATGGCATACATATCTCCTTTCATCACTRTGAGTCAGYTTATGCTTGGCTAAGGCACTAGAAGACCCAAAGATTTTACCACACTGCTCACATTTTATTTCTGGCTTTGATCCAGGCAGTGGTTTGGGCCTGCCTTTGTGTTTGGTAACTTGAGCTTTCTTGTCAAGGTCTTCATATGGTGCTGGACTATCTCGCTCACTTTTAACTGTCTGGGTATCACATCTCTTGGTTTCTTCTGGAGATGGGGAGGCAGGGCTGACAAAAGTCTTGTTGTCTAGGAGATAACAAATCAATAGATGATCAAAACTAAATAATGTGTCTATAAATACAACAAACATACTATACTGTGCTAACAGCAGGAAGCTAGGGTGTAAAGCACTAATGTATAACAACACCTGAAAATCATGGAGGAATTTGGCTTTATGCCACAACATTARAATTATTATGCACACAAGAACAAAACAACCAAAGACATAATTAACTTGCATTCCAGCTACTGCTATCTTGACCTTGCTATGCAATATTTAAGAATGTTCATGAAGTTTCTCAAAGGAAATTTTCTTTATTTTGCATATGACTAACAGTTTAACCATTTCATGCTTGATTGAGTGTATCATGAATAAATTGCTTTGCAGAATATGGAGCTACTTCTRAGAAAAATAATCACTTTTCCGGCCGGAAACTAACTTAAAAAACTTCTATAATTTGTGCAAAATGGCTCAAGATTAGGACTGTAAAAGCCAGACTATCAGAATTCAWMATTAGCACTRCTTCTACTGATTATTATGCTGAAGCCTTAATGGCCTTCCAAGGAATTCCAAAACCCAACATATATACTTTCTTTACAAACAAGAAATACTGTCTCTGCATAATTAAATGAGCAAATACAAATGGCAAATGATGTTTCCTATTGTGAATTACACAGAAATTAGATTATAAGACAGAACCATGCCTTGAAAGCATGGTGTCCAAACATGGATTACAGGTCACACAATATAAACACTGACCAAAGTCACTTCATCAAACCATAAAATATTGGATACTGAGATTACTTTACATTGCAGTTGACTATTTTAACTACCAGAGAACACTCACCAGGAGGAAAGACAAAGATGGAGCTAAAGGTTGCATTGCATGCAAGCATATCTGTTGTTTGAGACATGATAATTATTCAGGAAATGTTTTACATCTGTAGTCYCTTCTTGCATCATGCATTACTCCAAATAACATGAAAATAGTCCACTTCATGATGGTGTAATCGTGTAAGTTTGGCAGTAAAACCCTTGGTTAAGTTTACTGCAGAATACACCTCCTCACTGATTAATACAGCTATTACATGCAACACATATATTACTGACGCAAACATATTAGAATACTATCGTGGTTCAGTGCACACATCACAACAGCTGACTTATTATGGTTTAATTACATCATATCTTAATAGGTTATGTGACACTACAGCATACAAAAGCTTGTTTACTTACTCTGACTTTTATCCTGACTTTGTGAGGCTGGTTGTTCAGTGTTTGAGCTTCCTGTGCTTGTTACTATAGGTTGTCTTTGTTGATGTAAAACAGGAGCATCTCCTTGGATATTTGGTAYGAATGTAGGAACAGCTCCAAAATTTTCATAGTGACTTGAGTCGCGACCCATGGGAATACCAGAGTAATACATGCCATCAACAACTCTAACAGGCCCTATTCCAGGCAATAAAGCAAAGCCTTGCTGTACATAACCCTGTCTATCAACATACTGTATACCACTATGTGGAGGGATGCTTCCGTATCTTGAATGTTCAGCTGAATCGGCTGAGCTGTTAGCAACAGGAACTTGTTGTTCAGGTCTGTTGGATGCATATTCTGTCCTTTGTCCATGAATAGGCCTGTTGTCAGCAAACCTATTACGAAGTAAGTGAGCATGGGCTGACAAAACACCCAATGGTGGTKGTGCCCCCAATTTTCCTGCTTGCGATAACGCCACTGAGTTGGGATGGTGCATGTAAAACACTTGAGGAACAGCACGATGTTCCTGAGACTTTTGATGTTTTTCGTTATCACTGTCATATTCGTCTTTGCTGCTATCTCGGACTATTACAGGTGCTTTCATATCTTCATGGGAATTGCGATAATAAAATGCACGCGTATTATTGTGAACAACTCCTGACGGATCAAGTTTTTCACTACAGTGAAGTTTTAAGTATTCGTCTTTTCCCACTTTGCGGATGTTCCGGTTTTCATTGTCAGGCGACATTTCCTTCACTGTGCGTTTGATGACGCTTGCCCCACGCTCGACTGCAAACTCATTCATTGGGACCTCAGCGTTGTTTGACCGATGTTCGCTCCCATAGAGATGATTGTTTTTCGCATTTGGTAAATTCAGGTCAATCCACTTGTGATATGTTCCAGAAGTCTTTCTTTCGTCTAAATGTTTCATCGCCTCATCGGCTTTTCTCTCGTTCGATGTCGAACGACTTTGACTATAAATATCTCGTCTTTGCATTGAATCTCGAACTTGGGCGATTTCCTCTTCGTTCATGATAACATGATCTTCAATATTTGCAGTTTCTGCTAGTCTAGATGGGGTTGACAAAGGTTGCTTGACCGAGCGAATTTTATCTTCATGCGAGTCAACACTATACAAAGAGGGAGCCGGTTCTTCTTGTCCGTCTGTTTCGTCTGGGCTTGCACAAGGAACGTTTTCATAAGACATCTTTACTTCGACCTTGCGAACAAAAATAAAACTTGTGTTGTTGATAAAATGTTCTATTTGTTTTGGGAGTTCTCTTGAGCACGGTATCTCTTCTAACTTTGATCAATCAGCGACCTGGGAAAAACGTAAACATAAGCTTGAACTGGAAACAAAAAGTATAAAATATGTAAAAGTAAATTTCATTAGGAAGAATTACTACTTTTAACATGTGTTCATATTGAGCGTTGAAAGCTGCTTTGCTAGCTTTGAGAGAAAACCTTACCATCGTGGCAAAATATTCAACTCCAAAAGCGTTATAAACTGTATTTAAAGCTGTAGCTTTTTGTTCGCTTTTATAAAACGAACCAGAATATTTAATTTTAATAAAATTCCCAAGAGATAAAGACAAAAATAAAAGAAAGAGAAACACCAATAAGCTTATGCTAAAATTATACCATTAAACCTTGGTTATAAATGTATAAACTCAGTTTGGCTGAGCAAATAACACGARCTTTGGGAATTCATCCGGGTAAACGTCACGTGAATGTTAACGTCGATGAATTACTTTTTGCCGAATAATTATCCTATGAAACTTTGTATAAGTCCATGAAAAAAATAAATAGATAAGTCGGGCATTCCCCATACTATGACGTCCTTGCTTTTGCAGCAAATTTAACGGCGAACGACAAGATACGAAGAAGGAAATAATGCGTTTAACGATCATCCAGAATGGGTTTTTCCCTTGGCCAAAATTCGTTATCGCTTCGAGTTCCTTATGGTGTCTATCTAACATTACTTACAAGGAAATCATTCAAGAACAAATCAACTTCCAAACGGAAAGAAATTCAAAGAAGAGTATGAATGAACTGCAGATTCAGAGCTACTATCATGGGAGCGCCGTGTCAGCTATGAACTGGCTAAAGGAGACACACGATTTCGCTCTTGAACTYCACTAAAACAGTTCTGCATAAATCAAATTGACCAATATGAATGTAAAATGTTGATCGACAAAGTTAATGTGGCGATCTCACATACAAAAACACTAAGCACTCCAACGCATGACGACTGCCGTAGCAGTTGCTCCACGCGTTCAAGTTTTGTCGCATAATTTACCTTTTTTCCGTGTTTTCTCGTGTTCATTTACATCCCTATAGAATCAGAATAACGTTATATATCTTCTAGAGTACTTTGGAGACTCAAAACGATACCTTGTAGGTCACAATCTTGCTATTTAACGATCACAGTGTCTGTTSAAATGATTTTTTTGCTACGTTTGCCAGTTCTGGCCGGGCCTTACAACTCGTCTATTCATAACTACGTCATCACAGGGTCAACATTACAATGACATACCCCCACATTGACCAATCACATGTCTGTATTTATCCCCTGGGGAATTGGGTGTGCATACAGACCGGTCAAATTCCTTGTAGATTTCTGCAAACAAAAACAAAGCACAATTCCGGATCCGCGCCAAAATCCMCGTCGCCAGCAAGCTTCCTGCCTTTAAAAAAGCCTCGAATATTATTTTTKGGGTTGAATTATAAATCTTTAGCTGGAGGAAAGTTGGAGAAGATTTATTTTCGTGGAAGTTTGGTTAATTTATTTTGCTGACAGAAAAGTTATGCTCCGTCGTGTTCCAATACCGGAAATAGTCCAAATATGGTTTCCGCTAAACCGCGAATYGGTCATGTGGCGATGTGTTCGTCTAAAGTCTAAATAGCAAGCAAAGATCGATACTTGGAATGCAATGAAGTGTTTTGTGTACATTTATCTCACGATAGGTTTCGCTACTACTTATTTTAGTTTCACATAAAAAAAAACCTTTCACGTCACAGCTATTGTGTAGTTCTTTGCTTGAAGTCTTTGAGTACCATTAATACATTCCTTCTGACCTCATTGCACGCATGAAAAGCCTGAATTTAAATTGTTTTAATTTATAGCTGGAGACGAAACTGGGAAATATTATTATTAGAAATGCTATAGAGACTACACGTATGCAATGAACGCAGTAGTACGTTGTCTCGGCGATGAATGACATCATCGTGTGTGATTCTGGATTCTACTCAAAGGTATGTTGGGTTGAGGTCAACATTGTACACATTGTGCGTGCCGTCTAGTATATATCAAACGTCATCGTTCAACTTTTCTCAGGATAATTTTTTTTGCTTCAGCTGTAACATATCACCTCAAAAACTAACCAGCTGCAAACAACTACCTGGGTGTTGTTATTTTTTAGTACTTGATTTTTTTATTTACTTTTTATTTAATTTCGAAACTGAAAGCTTTTATCAGCTTTTGGTTGGAGCTTTTTTATAATGATTGATTGTCAAATGAGCTCGCTCGGGGATTATGCACCGAAAACAAAACCAAACAATACAAGAAGAATAGCAGGAATTAGCCAAGMGACCAGCTGGCCCGAGCGCGTGCTTACTGACAACAAACGCACGCCGTTCGTCACAAAAGAGCGGATATGGCACAAGAGATATTTGGATTMAAAAGACTCAATTGTAGTCTGAAATACAGCAAATATTCAAAATTATAATTATAAACTAAAATTACTCAAGTGTATTTTAGAACTGAGTCAACTCCATTCGTGATGTACTCATGCTAGCATTTAGAGTGCTTTTTATATACAGAACAAATAATGGTTATACTCAAATGCCCTGCAAGGGATTATGGTAATCAATSTCGMCCAGTTTTGCAATTGCGAAATTGTTTTTTATTCTCACTCGGTCAATGTTCAGACTGATAATGAAAGCGTGAGCTGTGCAGACTGAGTTTTTAAAGCGTATTGTAATGTAAATATGCAATGTTGGACGCTTTGTTAACTAGCACAGGAAATTAAATCTATACATCAACATACYTGAATAGGCTTTTGTTGTTGAATCATTTTCACCTCATTACGTACCATTTGCAAGGGTTTTTTTTCTGCAGTTTATGCTGAAATGAATATTTCCAATCATGCTCCTACATGCATGCTAATACAAACATSCAAATAGCAGTCTCGTGTTTTGCAAACAAGAGGCTTAAAAATAATGTTTTTTTTCCAAGGTTAAACGTGATTTTGCAAGACCAGGTCACAAGTGGACGGGTGGCCGGTCTTTACTGTTTTTGTGCATTCAACCGCTATTCACAGCAGGTTATCAACAACGCTACCATGACAACTAATRTGTGACACGTGACTGGTGGTTTCTTACAAAGAACGTTGTGATACAGTTCGTTTTTCTTTTTTTATAAGGTTCCAAAGTCCAAAAGTATGACTTGCAGCTATGAAATATATCACAATGTAAAAAGAGAGATAAAAATATCAGTTTTAAGGGGTACCAGCTACTTTTACTTCACCGAAGAAGAAGCATACAKCGTAAGTGCCCGTAAGGAAAAACTTCAAATCATACTCTATGTTCTATTAATAAAATTATAATTTTCTGAGAAAATGTAAAAACTGAATATATGAATAAAAATATTGGTAAGGCACAAAGCTATTATTCTTCAAGAAAAGGTGTAGTCGTTGATCGATTAGGCGTGGAGTGCTCAGGAGTCTCAGTCAGCAGGGAACCCGATTGAAATTACAATGGATTTCATGATGCAAGTACTGATCATGATCTGCTGTCATCATGCAATATGAACCAAACACTAGAACATAAATCTCAGCTTWGATTATTTATAGTTTGTGAGAAAAACATACCTGCAAAATAATTCGAGAATTTCTGGTTGATTCAATATCACCTATAATTTCACAGGTTGCCTTTTATTGTAAACGTATACTAGCCGATTTCAGTTTTTCAAATGATATACGACGCCTGAATTATAGACTTAACCTAACTTAAYCTAACATTAGGTGCATACTTATGAAAGTAGCACTGGAGTTCATTAYCGTGTTATATAGAACGCCCAAAAAATATAAAACTGATGATGATTGTAAAATAGAAACTCAACAACAGCTGAAAATCAGTATTACTTTTTGTCTCATGAAGACACAGCAAAGGCTCGAAATCTTGTGCACATCTTTAGTAAACTATCTTATTATAAAGCGAGCACGAGTACACTTGTAAGCCTACAATTTTCTGCAGCGGAATAAATTAGTCTATGCATTGCCTGGGGGCATTCCCGATCACACCCCTTCCGACGTCACGAAATGCTTTCAGTCCCCCCTTGGCTGACACGATCTTACACTAGACCAATTCAAAGAAAAGTATCTCTTATAGTGGTGTACTTACAAGTCATGTAATGGCACGTCAAATCGATGTTGCATACACCAGCTCAGGTTCAGGTGCTTTGCAAGCTTAGTTTTAATAATTAACTATTATTAGGAAGTAAGATTGTAGCTCAGAAAACAACATATTCGACGAGAACAAATGACACTTTTCTAGATTWATGTATGTCATTTTTAAATGGCGCTACTGTTAAGCTATTATCTGCACTAGAAGTAGTTTTCAAGGAAGTAAAATGGTGGAAGGGCAGTGTTTTGACACAGGTACCTGCATTCTCCTGTTCTAGGTAGCTGGACACGTGGTAATGTGTTCCAAATTGCTCTGAGATCAACCATTGACAGGGTCTGCAATGGCTTTAGCTTTCAAACCCACTCAATTAACACTCTTGACTCGTATCTGTTCTTTTTAACGTTGCCCTACTTGTTTTCTTAGCTATTAGTGATATTTTGTGAGCATTCATGTGCAAATGTCCTATTTGAAAAAGTGAGTTATAACCGGACTGTCGTCCATCTATTTTTTCCATTACGCAAACGTTTGAGAGCATAAAACATCGATAAAAGTATGGTTACCTTATGGTTTAACCTAACGTTGGTGCACGGGTAGCAGCCACCTTGGAAGATGTGTTGTAATGAATTAATGATTGATAGATCAGGGGACTCTGCAAAGTTGTTCGAAATCTCATGATTCATGCAACTCACACATTAAAGCCCTACCAATCTACAATCTGATGGAACTTTTGACCTTGGCACTCATAACAGTCGCGGAAAAAGGACAAGAGTATACTTGGTTATCGGCGCTATCTATGACTGGCCTTAAGTGGCARAAAATATAAACTAATAACAATAGAATAAATAAAAGATCCGTCAAATACATATGGAAGATATGGCATCAATAAACTCAATGCTAATAGATATATTCGATTGTTGTTGAAGTTAACTTGGTATTCATACATAGTCSGTGTATTGAATTCCGCATCAGTCAAGGGAAGCCAAGCAAGCGGTCCCGTACCGGAACAGAGGAACATGATGTGACCTTTTTCCTTTTCATCCTTTACTAATAAATTACTTTCGAAATTCAACAGCTCATCTCCTCACGAGCATTATGTTWTTTTTGACATATGATCATCCAAGAGGAAGTAGGGAAAGTTAAAATTATCTAATTTTGGTTCGCCGCAGCGCGAAATGCATTCATCCAAAAGAGAATGGGTATTCATTTGGAAAATGCAATTACAATTCTAATAATATMAGATCAAAAATYGTCCAACTATAACTCGCGCAAAGCGAGCTTTTTGCTAATCTAAAATACTACAAATATACTGGAATAAATTACAAATATTGAAGAGTATACCATGGAATTTACCTGTGTTTCTACAGGACTTCAAACAATTCCAGGCGAGTTTGTCGTCTTCTTTCTTCTTAGTTTTCAAAATAAGACATGGACAAAAACCATTGCTCTAACAACTGGAGRAGATGTGGATATATYACAGAGAAAATATCAATGTTGAGGTGGACAGTTTCCAGAGTTGCGTCTTTTTGTCCAAGGTCATTGATGCGTTGTCCTAGGTACCAGTCTGTTGAGCGTGTGTTGCTCCAACAGCTCAACCACCAGGTGACATTTGCACCAAGAGCCCAACGCATGAGTAATTGACCAACATTTTGATTGCAGTCAAGGTGCAGGTAGCTCGAAAACAAATTTGCAAAAAGTAATTATCATTCCACGTCTTCCTCTCTTGTTAGACGCAAGTGTTTCTATCAAAGAAATCGAGGCCATTTGAGACTCAATAATTATTAAAGACTGTCAATATTGATCTTTATGTTTTATGGACAGGAAAAGAGTCGAAAATCAAGGGGATCATTAATTTATATAWACATTCATTTAGTGCAATTGCATTAAGCTACTGTCGTAAGAGAATAATGGAATATCACGCTAAGGCACGGCAATAATTTAGTGAAGCGCTGGAAACAATGGGATACCACCAGCAGAGATTGCGCAATCAATTGATTTCAATGATTTGCGGTTTTGACGACRGTTTTGACCCTTTTCAATAACAATCCCTTTCGACTTCCTCTAGGTACAMCCATGACCTTGAAACGTCAGTCGGTTATTTATAGAATTCAGAGCGCGTAAAGCACCGAATTTGAAGATATAAAAAGAACTCCGTCTCAGTTCACAGCACTGATTCTGAGGACTGAGTCATACGCATCAGACCATTGACTGGATTACAAAAAAAGTTAATTTACTTTCATTCAGTTTTGGTATTCGCAAAGCCATATTTGTGGATTTTATATTGGTTAGATAATCCATAACCTGATAAAATTCAATGACGACAAACATAAAAAAGTATCGTCACATAGTATTACTGGAAATTATGAGGACGAGTTCCAGGAAGTTCAGGATCTGAAGCCGAAAATATCGCTCGCTCTTGACGCCCTGATAAAAAGTGAAAAAAAGCTCACGCTTGCTATATTAAGCTCTTACTCCTTTATAAAGGTAGCTTATTTATCTATACTTGCGACGCAATCGTATTCGCAAGCACATGACAAACCAGCACTATTTATGCTTGCGCTAGCTTGCGCATTTGCTGATGTCTTACCATTCTTATTCCAGGCAAATGAATGTATTCCTAAGTTCCCTCAGTTTTCATCTTGCTCTTGGAGTCTGGCAGTACGATAGTGATCTAAAACATAGTTGAACAATTACCACATGTAATAATTAGTTTTAATTATAAAGAAATAGGCGGCATCAAATTCACCGGGCGGGATAGGAAGACATAAATTAAAAATGAGCTGCCTCGTTGTACGAATTCTGCTAAAATAAGTGGAAGGAAAAGTAACTAACGGCTAACACGCAGGCCTCGTGTGGTGGYTGTGACAATTATAGCTGCTGACATTAGAATGCTGATGTAAATAGTAAATACTAGTATTTCCACTTTTACAATTCGAGTTCTCGCTTATCATGAAGCTAAAAAACAATCTTGCGAGGATAAAATAGMCCCCTCCCCCTTCCTCCGTCAAATCACATCATGATCGACCCCCTAAATAGCTGTTGATCAAAGTTAATCTATGGCCCATCAATGGAGTGAGATGTTTAATTCAATGAGTCAAAGATCATATTGATATTCATCTCTTAATTGCTGTGCTGTTTATTGCAAACACAACCCCATGCGATGAGGTTCGTCTCACAAATTTTAGCGCCATTCAATCAATTCAGGACAATTAAGTATACTAGGCATCTTACCGCTTGCCTGCGGTATTTTAGAGCCATCCGGAATTTATAAGTACAGTCGGAAACTGACCACAGCCGGCCATCTCCCTCCAGCACTGTATATTTTTTGAACACAAGGAATTTTTACATAAAATCTTAGACGACTTCCGAAAGGCAAAGATATATACCGAACAGACTGCGTGGCTAACGCCAAAACTATGATACGGTCGGAAGTCCTTTAATGTTAACCTGAGTATCAGGCCTTCGAGAGGGCCTGGGGAGGAGAGGAGGGGAAAAAGGAAGGCTCTCCCTTTTTCCTTCTCCTTCCGTTTTTTCCCCCCGAGAGCCTGATACTCAGGTTATTTTAATGTAGGCCCCTTATCCCAAGACAGACAGACATGACTGTAAGTTAAGTGACAAGGAGTAATACCACGAGACCTCCTTCCAACCTTGTTATTATACATAAAAATACTCCAACCAGCCCGCCTTAATCCTTAAAATTCCCACGTCTGAAAATAATCCCCGGCTTAACACTTTAAAGTAGTCTATACATTAAAAACATTGAAGAGGGTCAACCACACGGCGCCCAGGCTCAACAGTTGTGTTGCTTACACGGCGTTGTCAACAATCTATTGCGTGGTTCGAGGTTCGAGCCCTCATGATGCCGTAAATTTTTTCTACTTCATTTCTTGAGACTTTTCAAGACTTTCTTTTTCTTTAATATGTATAAACAGTTTTATGAATAAAGATTGATTTTTAAAGCCATTTTTATATTTTCCCCCCTCGTGGCGCCCTGTGGGTCAACGAGTTTTTATCGGCTCAACTTGCGGGATACCTGTCTACTGGTAATTCATTTATCATTACATTGACTCAATCAGGAGGCATTCGCAACCTAAAATTGCGGATTTTGCGATCCGTCCGTTTTTTGCTAATTAACCTTGCATAACTCAAAACCTCGCATATTCAGTGCCCTGACTTTAATTATTTCAAGGTTGCTCACAATAATAAATGTGCAAATTTTACAGATATGATTTATCAACGATGGAAACGTCACGCATACTGCCTTGCTGCAAACTAGTTGGGGTAAAGCGTGCCACGCATACTGCCTTGATGCAAACTAGTTGGGGTAAAGCGTGCCACGCGAAGTCTAATGGACTAAATCGGGCGTCCAACAGTAAACGCATCCTTTCYGTTGGGTTAATTTGCTTGGATATTGTCAATGTTTGCCATCATTTTCCTCGTGAAGACGAAGATGGTATACGTGCTTTGGACCAGCGGTGGCAGCGCGGTGGCAATGCAGCAAATCAGTCCGAGATATTGGCCCAGTTAGGAATGGAAGTAGAGTTTTTGGGTTCTTTGAGCGACGGAAAGGCATCTGACTTTGCGATAACGACACTCAAACAACGTGGAGTGAAAACAAATAATTGTATCATCCACAAAGGTCTTGGGTTTCCCCACATCCTGTGTGACACTCAGCCCTCAAACAGGCAGCAGAACAATGATTCATTATCGTCCAAGTCAATTTCCAGAAATTTCCCCTGAAGAGTTCCAAAAACTTGACCTCACATGCTACAACTGGATTCATTTTGAAGTGAGGCGAAACTTTCATGAAGAAACACTTCAAATGATAGCAGTTGTCGAGTCATTTAATAAAACAAGGGGCCCATCAGAGAAAATCACAATATCAATTGAGTTAGAGAAAAAACATGAAGATTGCAAGAAATTGTTTTCTCGARCTGATTTGGTGGTCATAAGCAAAGATTTAGCTGAATTACTAGGTTATACTTCAGCTAGTTCTGCTGTTCAAGGATTGTACAACAAAGTGAAACATGGCGCTATACTGGTGWGTCCTTGGGTGCTGATGGCATGAGTGGGGAGGGAGTCCTATACCATAGTGATGCATACCCCCCTGACTTTGAAAGATAGAAAGATACCCTGGGTGCAGGGGACACACTGAGCTTATCAAAAGTCTTTATGATGGAAATGATTTGCAGGAAGCTTTGATGTTGGGATGTAGACTTGCTGGCTTTAAAWGTGSAGTTGATGGATATGATCAACTTGGAGAATTTTGGCACAAAATAGTTGATGGCAAATGACGTCAATGGAGATCTGAGACCAAGTCCCCTACAGCATATCCTAATGGCACAACAATCATATTTTAACAGAACACATGTAGACTTGACCAGGAAATCTGAGCTGGAGGTTAATGACATAATAAAGGGCAAGCCTGATGTACAAGTGAGACAAGCAGTTTAGATGCTATGATGTAATAAATACAGTAAAGTATCATGCAACATCTTGATTTTTCTCATTCTAAGAAACCCTATGCGATAACTGGGAGATTGGACTCTGTCCTGCAGCTACTTTTCCTTCCAATCCTCGCCTAGCCTCGCTTGAAGGGTATTGGAGCAGTGAAAGATGGGCTACCGTGTCTCTCTGCCCCAATCTCCTCAAGATACTCAGGCTAATACTGGTCCCCCCAAAAAGCCCTGGGTCTTTCAGATAGAGTGTGAAGATGTACGAACTATTAAACTAGTTAAAAAAACTGTTAAACAAATAAAAAGCAACCTACTTACCAAAACATGCATWGCACATTTCTATTTTATTAGAACAAAAAGTGTTATCCAATTATTCTTACTGCATAAATAAGCTAGATGGGYATTGTTTTTGGTATGTGACAACAGTCTTCAGTGATTTTATATCTTCTATGAGCAAGTTGAATTGTCATGGGAAGACTTATAAATGTATGATTTTATACCAACTGCGTGGTCTTTTTTTTACAGGCAATACAAAATCACTTTAATTCCAGGCTCTGGTGCTGAATATKTACAAAAGAAATACTGCAAGGATGCTTAGCTTATTATCCCCTTAACACAGACATGCAGCATGTTTGACAATCAAGTAAATTAAAATAAAAAATCAGCAAAAGTKTGAATGGCCAAAGACCAAATCTAAGTGTAGGTATTAAAATGACTGAAATAGCGATTACATGAAGTATTTGTATCAAGTTTCCCAGCATGAAAGAAGACCATGACATAGAGTGTAAAGATAATCATACATTAAGTAAATATTATATTATCCAGAATATTTTAAGAAACTCACCAAACACTYGCATATATTTATTGAGTCTTCAATATAGTCTCTCAGTAATAATGTTAATTTGACATCAAAGGATTGTGTTCAACATAAAAAAAAACAGGATTTAAAACAAGTACATAGTTTTGACGTTTATTGTGGTTGTTTTGTACATGTAACTTCATTGCAAGAAAACAATCATGGTTTTGATGTGAATTCTTATATTTTGGTGATGTCGGGTAATAAACAAGTCTGCCAGGATACAGACAGACATATCTAATAAAGACCTTGGTGATTTCTTAACTATCTGGATGGAGTACTGCATTATCATATCTCCTATAGTTGCACCACAGTCTTCTTGTACTGAAACGTAATTAAAAAGTGAGAAATACTGATTGTCCTAAAGAGCTGATGGGCACAATCAAACGACTGTGGYACATATACTATTTTCAAGTCACTTTCAACTTTTAGGGTTCTTTGTTCCTGCATTTGGTGCTGGATTTGACTTGGTATCTGTTGAGTTTGAAGTCGATTTTCCTGTCAAATCATTTTCTGCCTTCAGTGATCCMGACRSAGGAAAGCCAAGTATTTTCCTTTTTTCCAACTCRAGCTTATCCAGCTTCTTCCATAGTTCTTCTCTTTCTTTTTCTTTCTTCTTTTCTCTATGACACAAGATATTGAACTGAATAAGAGAAGATAATATCTCCATTTGCATGCTGAATTGTGTGTGGTAAATTTGAACGAATCAAATAATAAAAAGACTCATAATTCTTCAACTAGAGCCRTCAAATTTTCAGATATTGGGAAACTAAGAAGGGTCTGGATAAGTGATTAACAAAAAGTTGAGGCAGACATTGGTTAACTTACTTTTGTCTATCAGCTTTATATGAAGATGTAAGTTCATCAAACAGCTTTCCATTCATCTCCATAAACGTTTTAAGGACATTATACACTAATGCTACAATAGTCCTACAACAATAGAAAATACATTGATGAATTAGGATGGTCTACTAGTTAATCCTTCAAGTTAATAACAAATCAATCTAGAACTAATCAATTCAACTAACAAATTCTTTATTGGTCATTCAATTTATCTTGTAACAAAATCAATCTACAAGACTTACTGGTTCCAATGGTCTTTTGAAATCCGATATAAACTGGAGAACATTATAGGTAGAATAACATTAGAGTTTTCCTCAATTAAACTCATGATGTACTCATTATTCCAATAGTACAAAGCACGCTCAGCAACCTGCATAATAAAAACATAACCTTCAGACTACAATATTCAATTAACTTTTACCATAGGATCCATTCAACATTTCCTTTATTCAATGAAGGATCAAGTTTGACAAACCTGGAAATGAGGGCTGGACACACATCTAGCTATCTGTCGAAATAGTGGTTCTTGAATTTTAACAAACTGTTGTGGATCTATAACATCCAAGATTTCTTCTATTTCTCCTAAGAACATAACCTACACAAAACAAAACATTTATCTTTGAATCCTCAGGTTCTAAGCCATTATTCTAGCTTCCTATCAGCTTTTCCTTGAAACAATGATCAACAACAGACAATACTTTTCCACATGGYAATCARGTTKYCTTMATTYTTCTTACCTCTTTTTGACTACTTGTCTTGGGCCAAAATTTCAACAAACCTAGAACAACCTACAGGGATCCCACAAGATGGTAAGCGTATAAATAGGAACTGGTCATTTAGATGACCAGTAACAAAAATGACAAATTGAGTGTGAGAATAATGATTAAATTTAGATGAAAATAATTACCTGTTCTGTGAGTGAGGCATCTTTCTCCAAGAACTGTACAATACAATATGCAAGCTGAAAGGAAAAAAAACCCTATGTGTTAATACCAGATAAGAATGATAATAATATTTAAATGAAAACATATGGTATTGGTCATTAATCGTTTCMTTATGAACTGTATTTTTATTGTAAAGTCAGCTCACCTGGGCATGATAAAGGCCTAAACACTTGACTTTATGTAAAGGAATGAGGACTTTTTGTAAGAACATCTTATGCTCAGCTTTTAAGGGAAGGGCAAAACCATTTATAATGCTGAAATAGAACACAAACTGTTATTACCATTTTGTATACAGATATACCAGGATGAATTTGTTTTTGATGAAAGGACCTGTGGCACCTAATTTTCATAAATTTTGAGATCTGATCAGGTTTTATTGTCATCAATATTCCTGGCCAAAYCTTATGRCCTTACATACCCTACTAACAAGATGACTTGTCATATCATACATACCTTCCTAGGATTTCTAGTAGCTCTCCCACTCCATTGAAATGCTCAGTTTCAAATATGAATCTTGAATTGAAGCAATAACATTATATACAGTTAGAATTGTATGATCTTATGTTGCTGGCAGCTGAATGAGGTGTCCAATGTCATTGTTTTGATTGTTGACTTTACACTTACTTTAGGAAAATGTGATTAATTTGTTTTCTAATGTATGCTCTGAGTCCAAGAAACTTTCCATATATCCTATGCAGAACAGTTTTAAGAAAGTCTCGCTCACGAGGATCTTCACTGTCAAACAACTCAAGAAGCTGTTAAAAAAAAGACAAACACAATGCATGACAATACTTTTCTATTGCTGCTTTGAGATATACACCATGAAAAAGATAGCAATAAGTTTAGGTTATACAATTCTTCTTTAAATAGATGACAGTTTTCATATTAGCAATAAAAACTAAATGATTAGTTGTTACTTTTTTTATAAATGTTTTCATGTTGACATAATTCTCATTAATACATTCACCATTATACCGTACCTGGAGAACAAACTTCTGGTCAATGAATTTCTTTGCAATGCTGGGCTGAAACTCAGGCGATTCAAGAAACCTCAGGAAAAATTCATACACCAACTAGAAGATAAAGAAACAAATCAAGTGATGTCATCCAGTTTCAATCTAATAATGTGTAATTCTGGACATTACCTGGAGRTGAGGCCATGAGGCTTCTAGTGTTGGATCATCTTCTTCAGGATCAAAGTCAGGATTATCAGATGGAGGAAGAGTTCGAAAAATGTTGATGGCAACCTATAATAACACAAAGTGWACTTTAACAGGAGCACAATGTTTTCAATSCAGATATCAGAATACATATTTATATTTTGAGATTTTTATTCAGTTAGCTGCAAGAGATATACTACAAGCAAAACAATTAAATTATGAAGAGGAGTTAACTTCTGAAATTACTTAACAATTAATGAGCAATAAATATCATATAGCAAATAAATTTAGATTTTATGATCAGTTATTAAACATACATGCATAACATTATGATATATATTTGGGCCATAATTTTATTATYTTCAATGTTAAGAAAAAACTACAAAAGACAAATTTATCAGGTAAAAAAATAAGACATCTAAATTCAAAGGTGTCTTTGAAACATTTTTGTTTGGGACAAAGAAGCAATTATGCATGACAAATTAACAAAGTACAATAATAACAACAATAATATAGATAAAAACAAGCCAAATCATATCAGCAACATACTATCATATCCAGATTTCTGTATGTTATTTTATTGACTAACAAACAGTGACCAAAGGGTGCACAGGTTTCAAACCAGTTTTTCCTGTCAGCATGCTACAGCACTATTAATAACATGCATGACTGAAACCAGCACAATTTTGCACAAGTGAAATAATAAATATACAACAAGCATGTTTTGGCTGTATCCAAGACATTTCCCAATTTAGATAAATTATATTAGAACACTGCAATGCAAAACCCATTTTTTAAAATCTACAAACTTTTACCAGAAAGTGAAGAATCCTATTAGTGGTTTGACATGAACTCTTGACTTACGAGGGCAATAGAAAATTGATGATAAAATGTCAATTTTCCCTATTTCTAAATTATTTTGAAACTATATAACATTCTTTCTATGAATAATAACACACATAACTGTAACAATTATTGATTGATGTTGGATATGTCATGAAAWGTCATCATGATAATTATTCCTATCAAATGATAGACAAATCTAATGATWGTTTTATTATCTATTCAGAAATATACAAAACACATTATTTGTATATTTTATTGATGAAATGTAAGCTTGAGTATGAAAGGTGTTAGGTTTCAGCACACAAAGAGCCATAGCCACTGACTACAATATAAAACATTTGGAAAACAGTTGGGCAGTAATGTAAYATAAAGAGCATATTACCTTGAATATAGCTCATAAATCCAGGTTTGAATAAATAATAATAATACACACTGTAGCTTTAAATTAATATTAAAATGAAAAGCAGAATTCTTGTTTTCAGAATATACCAATGATCACTTAATTTTTACTCCTCTACAAATTTCTTGATCTGTCTTAATTTTTTAACACTGACTGTGTCTTAAACCTTCCTTTACAGGAAGCAATAAGGAAGCTAAAGGAATTACAATCAAATCAATGCAAATTTTATATTGACTAACAAACCATTCCATGATAAACATACCAAATAATTATTTTTTATGAGCCCACTGAAAACATTGAAATTTGTGATAGTTTAGAAAACACTCAAGTTGACATGACAAAATAATCCAAAGGCTTTGAAAGTTCACTGTGGAAAGCAGAATACAAAAAGCACTAGATATGGTGATAATCTAATGATAAATTGTGGTTTGCAAAGAATAACAATGGAAATATATGATACAAAACTATGTGTTTTATTGGAGAAAAAAATCAAAAAACCCTCTTATCTTGATGGTTTCTAAGTTATACACCGACTTGAGTGARCTGTCAGTTTTAAGATATGTGATATGCCCAGCTTGTACCTTTAACTTGTACATTATATAAACTTACATTTTAAAGTCGAAAAGTGTTCATTGTCTTAATAAGACTGAAGCTAAATCCACACTTCAATGCAAGCCAAAACTAGTAAACAAAATACTGCTTTTATCTCGACAAAGCATGGGTAACTTCCGCCGAATGATCCAAATGTAAAAAGATGCTGCTTCTTGGAGAAAGATTACATCTTTGTTCATGTTTTTGTGACTGGAAAGTCAGCTTTTGACAAGCTGAAACATGTTGATTCTATGTACAAATACCCAACCTCAAGATTTGTTTATGCCACAGAAAGCGTGCAATTTTGTACTCATGTCTTTCGTAATTTGCATTACCATATCTGAACATTACCATTCAAGAATTAAGAATTCCTTATCAAAACATATATCCATTTTGGTTACAACCTTGACTATCAGACAGTTAGAATGTTCAGTTGTAACTGTGAATAGAGTATCTAGTTATCATCGTCTCACCGGCTAACGAGGTTGCATTCTTTAATCAAATATTTGAAGTAATCGAGTTATTTTAAGCTGTTTTTCGGAAAAAGAAATATAATCTTTGCCAAAAAACTTCATATTTGAAGTAAATAGAGAGGCAAGTCCACATTTAGAGCACATRAGATACAGAGATTGCAGCAATTTGCTCTAGTATAGATTTGTAAGACTATTCACATATTCATATTCCACATTGAACTTACCATTTTGACAACTTCAGGGTAGACCACCTCTTGYAAGATTCCTCTTCCTGATGTTATATAGTCTACTAGTTCATTGAGAGTGCCTCTCTTAACTTCTTTCCCTCTTAATTCGGCTACTGGATCCATAAAATCGAAAACTATCGAACATTGCTGCAGTTTCTTTATGAACAATTCCTGTTGCTCCGCAGGCGCCGAATCTAGTTGTAAACAAGGGAGACCGATTTTACTCTTCAAAACTCAAGCAAAACCGTCACAAACGATACATCATAACTTATATGATGTCGAACATCATTTTTTAATGAACGAGGATGAAATACCTTTAAGTAACGACAGCGGCTGTATGTCTTGATTGACTTTAGTCCGAAACTTTGACGAGCCTTGTTGCTTCTTCTGAGGACCCTTCGGCGGTTTTCGGACCGACTTTCGATGAAACGGGTCTGGATTTGGAGTCGTTGTACCACTAGCAGCTCCAGAAGGGGGACCTACTGCTGCCCTCCTTGCCTATATTAAGGGGCATAGACAAGCAAAAACCCAAGATTTAGAAGGATAGTGATGTTTGCACAGACAAGGGTCTTACCATAACGACAACACTAAACTCAGTTAGCTATMATTTCACTCACTTCCATAGCTTCCATTTTGACACTGGGAAGTAATTTTGCGATTCCCTGGTGGTAGAAGGGAAATCGCTGCTTTTTTAGATCGTATGGCTACGTTTTGGTTCGTTCAGCTAGGGCTATAATTTTCCAATCTTGGCCAAAAGAAAGTGAACTTCCTCCAAAGCTTGTTGAGCGATGGCCGTACAATAAACAAGCCGCTCCTGATTGGTCAACTCATTGCCGCCATCTTGAAATTCCCGGATGTAATCCTTTTTATTGACGTCAGAGTACCCATAGGCAGCAATCGCCGTACGGCATCACGGGAAATCATACGAACATTTTGGCATTCTTGAAGTGCATAAATCCCAAAAATTGTGAAGAACAATTATAGTTCCCATCTAAAAAATCTGCAAAGGTGTAAGGGCGGTTCTCATATCACCATACTATCCAAATTTTTGAAAGAGTGGGAAGAAAATGAAAAATAGCATATAAGTATAATTTTTCAAAAGAAAAAAGAAGTAAAAAAATGAAGTGCTTCTTTTTTTCGCATTTATGTTTTATATGATCTTTTTCAAGTGTAAGYGTAAGGAGGTGATGCATGCCCCCCCCTTGCCCTTTTCCCCCTTCCCTGAAAGAATATGGCAAATTTGATAAATGAACGGAGGGCAAGATTGAAATATACGATTTTTCAAAATTTTTACTATGCCTATAACCCCCTCAAATTTACCTTATCTCCTTACCCCCTGTTTTTTCAGTATTGTTAACATTATGCGCGACGATTCTATTTTTTGATATCACGTAATAAAGCATACGTTTCTTGTTTCAATTGTTGGTAAACGGATATAATATGATATTACTTTGGAGAAACGTGAAATAATCCAGTCAAAATGGCGATTCKTGACCCGAGAGCGCCCTACCTCTAACCACACCCCACAAACACGTTCCTATAGAAACACAAGACCGAGTCAAGCCCAGGTTACCAAGCAATAACAAGATGGCGGATTGAAAACCATGGTTCGAAGTGAGTGTAAAAGCAGCTCTTGATTACGGTGTACATGTCAATTCTCTATTATACAACGTACTTAAAATGGTAAATTGTTCTTTTGTAGTCACTGAAGACCTGTTACGCAAGAGAGCTGAACACAATAACTGTGAAATTTTTACTTTGGAAGAAGTTTCACTACATCAATCAGARATAGAGCGGTAAGCTGAAATTATGTTTATAACCGATATATTGAAATTATAACCGAGGCAATCCAATGCTGATGGAATGTGCTAAAGTGTACACTCAGCTAGCCAACTATAGAGAAGGATATCTGATAAATTTTGAATAAGACGGTCAATAATCACATTTATAGTGATAGTGATGTCATTCAACATTCTGTTTTATTTAACTTACAGCATTGAATTACTAGATAAATTCTGCAGAGACTTGAAAATTATTTATTTGCAAAGTAATCTWATCCCAAAAATAGGTATGAATATCTTTCATGAAGCAATGAGTAAAGATWTATTTGAATTGTTCACTTTTTTCCTTATATATGTACATAGCTTCTGCATTATTTTCAGAAAATGTTGGTCGTCTAAAGAATCTTGAATATCTCAACCTTGCTTTAAACAATATCACAAGAATTGAAAACCTAGAGGGTGAGATATTTCTGCGATATTTTGCACATCTGTACATTGTACATTTTATGACGTGTGAGACAAATGAAGAACTCTGATACTTACACTCATCAAGTGTTGTCATAATAATGTACCCCAATTTCTTGATCGCACGGGTTTTTATATTGCTTATACTTTGGTTTTGCTGTGTATTTTTTAGGATGTGAATCCTTGAAGAAGCTTGACTTGACGGTCAATTTTGTTGGTGAATTAACAAGCATTGTATCTTTGAAGGGAAACTATAACTTACGAGAACTGTGAGGAAATATTAGAGTTATGGGCAGTTTGCATATAGCATTCAAATAACTGATAAATCTTATGAATTTTGACTTCATAAATTATACTATAAAGCAGCAATTCAACTTTTGAATTTCAGACAGTCAGTGCGATGACAATTTATATTTTGTTTAGTTAATGAATAAAATAATTCCAAATCGCTTATAGATACCTRACTGGTAATCCCTGCACTGATTATGAAGGCTATAGAGAGTATGTTATTGCTACTCTTACTCAACTACGCAGTCTTGATGGTACAGAAGTTGAAAAATCAGAGCGAATTCTTGCAATGCAGGTATTTTTTGATGATATATAAATAGCAATTATTCAAYTAACTCGCCTGTGCTGAAACGGTCTCATTTTTAATGAAAAAAGAATAATAWGGTTTTCATTTTGAATCAATCAATAGGAATACCAATCTATTGAGGTAAAAATACATCAACAAGAGAGAGATTATCTGGTTAAAAAGGTACAGAAAATTAACCAAGAACATAATATAATTTCTATTTTGAATTAATTATACAATCCAATTTCTTTTGTAGGAAAAAGAGAAGAAAAACACAGAACAAGAAAAGGAAAATAAGGAGGTACAAAAACAAAAAGATGAAGAATTGAAGCAGGCAAGAGGTGACAACTGGTATACTGACATTCCAGGGTAGGGAAATCTAAATTGTTATATATACTTACCTCATGCATGCAGTATTCGTATGACCAACCATATACATGATTGTACTGTCTCTGTTTTTAACAGTGAAAACAAATCCACAAAAAGTGAAGAAGATGATGAGGCAGCAGAGAAGAGGTGAGTTTGTGAAAGACATTACCTTTTTTCCAGTTATGCATAAAGATGTTCTCATGATTATCATTTTAAACAATGACAATTTAAGATTTTGGGAAGAAAAGGTTGAATATACTCCAGAGTCAAGACTGGAGCTCCATCGACACATTGAAGAAAAGAGAAAAGAAAAGGAAAACAGAGACAAGAGGTGATGTGTATTTACTGTTTCCACTCTGCACAGATTTTACATGAATTAGCAATATATTATTGATTGTAATTAATATATTATTTATATCAATAGCCGGCTGGATGATGTAAAGCATAAAAGGGTTTTACGGTACTTTTCTAATGATGACCGGCCACTGAATATCAACCAGGGCAGGTAATTAGATTTTAACAATGATATTGATTTGTAGCTGCAAGAAGACTGGCAACAGATCTATGTGYTAACCACTCWGTKGACCCTTTATCAACATGAATGACAAAATAATACAGTCAAGTTTTCCTGYATGGGATATGATATCTTAGTTTAGAAATTCAGTGCACAATTTTATGTCCTCCAACTTTTAGGTGGGATTTTCATTTGGAAGATGATGTTGATAACAACATGTTCATATTGGACTTTCCTTGCTACAGGTAATGATATGATCTTACTTTTCTATCTYGATCACACTTTATGGGAAATAAAGAGCTGTTTATTTATGAGTTATTGAAGTTGCAAAAACAAATTACCCCTGAAAGGAAGTCTTAATTCTTGGGACTACTTGAATATTGTCAACTGAATGTGAACTTTTGTAGACACATTGACACTTCACTGATGGATGTTGATGTCCAACCAAACTATGTCAGAGTCACTGTCAAAGACAAGGTGAGCTTACCAATGGTGTATGATATTGAGAAACATATTTACTTCTGGGTTGGAGAGGCTATAAATGGGCTGTTTAGCACTGGATATCTATGTTCTCTTGGAATTTTCAGGAGTGACTCACTCTTCATAGGTTGCAACAATAAAAAAAAATAGCTATTCAACTCAATCTGTACCTTTTTCAGCWCAGGAAGATTATTTTCAGACTTGTCATATTTATGTATCTGTTGGCAATGAAATGTCATAATTTTATCTTGCTATTTTATCTTATAAATTTATGACATTGTTTGCCAGGTATTTCAACTTGCTTTGTCAGAGGAAGTTAATCCAGATTCTAGTTCTGCCAAAAGATCACAGACAACTGGGCATCTTCTTGTRACGATGCCTAAGGTAAGTAGTATTTAGATTTGATTTTAAACCCAGCCCTGGCAACTCGGTGTTAGTTTTTCTTTGTACTTCAAACAATGATACTATTTTATTGCATTATATTTCATCGTAGATGAAGCAGATATTGAAGCCTCCAAAAAAGATACAAAATAAACCAGTACGGAAAGAAAACACATCTGAAAATGAAGAAAAAAGGTTGGTAAACCTATTCTTCCTGAATAAGCTCATAATTGAAAACAATTCTATCAGACTCCTCAAAATTCACTAGTCATATTTAATAATCATATTKTATTGATCTTTTAAGGGTTAAACATGAAAAGCTTGAGGTTGATTCAACAGCAGGTAGTGAAATGGATTTCAGCAGTATTGTTAATTCAAAAACAACAGTATCATCAACCAAACACCAAGAATCCAATGTACATCAGAAAGAAATATCAGAAGATTTCATTGACGACCCAGATGTACCGCCTCTAATGTAAAACTGTGCATTGTTTTTCTTAATCGTGTTTTTAAGTAATAAATATATTTATATCATAATGAGTTAGTCATATTTTATTGGTCATTTTGAGAACACAAAAAGGKCATAACATTTTTTATAACCTTAACATTAACTGCCATGTAAAGTATTCATTGAATTTTTTAAAAAGCTAGCGTATGCTGTTCAAAAAAATTTTTTTTCAGATTTCAGTAGATGGAAGCCACTCTTATAATTTCAAAACRTTTATTTCCCATTATCTTGATAAGTAGAAAAGGAACTCCAAAACAACTTTTTAAAAATAACACTAATCACAAGCTTATACAATCACTTTCTTTTTGAGGTGCCTGCGCTCTACTGAAAAATTTAGCACCTTTGTGCACTGATATTTTGAGAAGGGTCTGTCATACAACTTCAATATAGACCCCTTGCAGTTAGTAATGCAACTCCAACTGGAGGACAAAACAATAAATTCTAGTTCCCAAAAAGCTTTTGTTTTGTGCTCAAGATGAAGCTGCTTTGACGTCGCATGCAAGGGATCTATAGCCTCCGTAGCAGACATTCAAAGCGGTTCGATTATTGGAACATCTGCTACGGAGGCTAAGGGATCTATGCATTGTTATACAATCCACAAATACACTGAAGGCTCTTGTGTACATATTATGTGAAGAACAAAGAACTAAAGAAATAAACTGAGGTGAGCATCAAGATTCAAACTATTTTTCCTAATGATTAAGCAATGGGATTAACACAATTAACATGAATTATTTTTATAATGACATTCAAAAATAACTGTTTGTACATAATATTGTATACACAATTAACCAAGCTTTTCTGTGTAGATRAGAGCCTTCTACAATCTAGATGCACATCAGATTGCTGAATATAAACATAATAATACTATAATAATACTGATATATAAACAACTATAATAAAGAATGTTCACTATGAAGCAAAATACTTTAGCCAATAGACTGACACAAAATTAAACACTATAGAACTAGACTAAAATACCAACAACAAGACTTCAGCCTATCACGATCATGGTTTGCAGTAAAACACACGAATACCAATCATGATATTAATAAACTAGTGCTCTTTGAACAAAACATAAAATATCAGACATTAAAATTGGATAGATGTACTATCTTTCAGTTTCATTAAAAGTACTAATGTGAAGTGATGGAACCAGCACCATGGCATTGGCATAAGTCGTAGTTTAATCCAATGACTCTCCCTCCTCTGTTTTCTGAAATGATAAAAAAATTTGTGGTTGAAACTGAGCTAGCCATTTCCAAGCAAACTGTTTACATTCCTTTACTTCAATGAAGGACTGATGCTATACTTTTTACAGTTAAAATAAATTTATCTTATTTCACAACTGTACACCTGATTGATATGCATTTTGTCAAATTCATAAATCAATGAATACGTGGATGGAAGGGAATGAATAGAATTAACTGAATGCATGTAATAAAATGCAAAAGAGTGAAGAATGAATAAAAAAACACATCAAGACTATTTTACCTTTTTCATGCCTTGGATGTTATCCAGTAGCATTTTGAATACATGTTCAGGAAGGGTTGTTTGGAATAACTGTAGGAGTTGTTGAGGTTGTCCACAAACAGTAATAGCATTTGTCAAATGTTTAACTGTACTCTCATAATCACCTGGAAATTATTGACATTATTAAATCAATATTTGCTAATATGAATGATATTCTTTGTGAGAGTATAGAGAGAGAATGAACTGGAGCCAGGTATAAGTGATGTAGGGTGCGAGAAGTTCCCTGATATTTTGACATTCTGCATGGAAGTTATTTTCGAACAATCTTTTTCAAGACTGGACAGTCAACACCTACATCAATAACTGTTGAGTTTTGTTGTTGTTGAGTTGATTTAGGGATAAGCAAGTACCTTGTGTCAAAGCATCTTCACCCARCTGCACTTCCTCTAAAAAGAACTTCTGTATAGCAGCTGGATCTGAAGTGTTTGGTATTCTGCTCTGGAATATTCAAGATCACAAGCGAATTGGTAATCTTTATAAATCATAATGATGATGATGATAGCATCATCAAAAATATCTTATACCTTCAAATCGTGAAGATTTTCAGTCTGCTTTGCTTCTTTAGCTTTTCGTCTTCCTATCCAACAACAGAAGTACACTTCAATGACATGATAGAACAAATTCATTGACTGYCAATCACTTTTTAAAACTTAATTTCTTAATAGAGATATACCAACAGTCAACAAGAGGAAAACTTGTGTCAGAGCTTCATTCAGAATTCATAAAATTGATAACCATTGTCAAGCTTGTCTTAAAATATTGAATGAAGAGAAAATATATTTTTAAATACAAATGAATTACAATTAAGCTTACAATTAACTATAATTTTTAAGCTTAATGATTATGTAAGTTTCAATCTTGTCATAGAAACTTCGAGTTTGAGCTAATTTTCAAATATATCAATAAAGTACAGAGTAAAGTAGGTATTGCAAATTATCATCCCAAAATCCTGAAATGTTAGAAAACGAAATATTTCAACATCCAGAAATTTACTCACATGCGTACACACGTGCAAACTTAACTTACTTTCCAATATCTTCTGCTTGTAAAGTGGGTCTGAACGCCTTTTACGATCAAAGTAAATACAATATCCAAGAAATATTGTGCCGCACACACCAGCTACTACCGCAGCTATACTTTTAGAACTCATATCTAGAATTAAAACTATAAAATGTTCAAGAAATTTAGTCAAACATAGAATGCCTTATATCCCAGCATCCTCTGTGTTGATTTCCCAACATTCTTAGCAAGCGTTACTCTTAGCAAGTGTTTACATGTTATGACTGTCGTGGGAGGTTGAACGAAGTGATTATACGATTACCTGAGCAACAACAAAGAGAATAAAGAATGCGAACACCCGAATTACCTATGGCTTTGTGCTTCTCGCTGTAAAGGTAAAGTGGATTTTTCTATGATTTATACTTGTTATGACCAGTTCTAAGTTTGAATAGTGAAGTTGCTGACAGTAAAGTGTCAATTATAATGTGTCATATGATAAGCTTAACACACTGTTTATCTTTTAAAAGATGTTTACTTGAGATAGATAATTAATTTAAACATTTTTTAGCAAAACATGAAGTTAATAACTCAAACAGGGTTTGTACGTAGAATTTCTAATTTTTTTTATCTATTCATTCTTTGCAAGAGTAGAACTCAAGTGACATTTCATGGCAACAGTTTTCAGTATGGTTACTACACTATACCTAGTGAATATTATCATGTTGATGTGTGTGACAACTGCAGTCTTTGAATCAATGACTGGGCACTTACTGCCATTTGGCTCACACCGACTAGCGGACATTGAGACAGCTGAGGTTGATGTCGTCCCTGGCCCAAGAGACTTCTGGGAAAATTATGTAAAACCGAGGAAATCTGTTGTGTTTCGTGGAGCTGCCAAGAAATCAAGGTTTGTACAATAGTCTTCTTCATGGTTCCCTGCGCCATCTTGAAAGGTAGCTGTGTCTTTGCATCAAAGTGAGAGAACTGTTGATAGAAACCTTCTTTCACACCTAGAGACAATTATTCACAGGTATCTATCATTGTACACTCAATGGTTGTCTCGCTTCGATGACAAGGCATGGCTAYCTTTCAAGATGGTGCAGGGAAYCGTGAAGGAGAATATTTGGGATCAGTGGTATTCTGGGGTCATTTGCAATCATATCTGTGTTATCTTTTTGGATCCGGGATTGGATTTCACAAGCCTTGGAACTGGGATCACTGTCTTGGGAAAACRGATCACAGAATTGGATCATATTTTGAAGACATGATCAGCTGTTTGCTGCAATCATGGTAGAAATGGTCCTAAAGAATTTTTTGATAGTTTACTGTCTTTTATTCAGGGCATATAATTTGTGGACTGAAGAGTTTCTTATCCAAGAGTATGGAAACCTTACACTAAGACTAGAAGCTAAAGCAGAGGCCGATTACCGCATGCCAATAGGTGGACTAGGAGTTCTTGGAAGGGATAATGTCAGTCACTTTATAAAGAACTACCAAACAATGAATGCTTATGTAATCTCTCAGATACCACAGCCCATGGAGAAAGATGTTGCGATACCCCCATGCCTTAGGTAAATAATTTGAACCTAAATATGCATTTCCTTTGTTTGAATCTTCTGGGATATAAAGTGGGTGTTTGCAAGTTTGATGAAAGAGAGATTACAAGGCTTCTATGAGCTCTCAATTGATGTCATCTATTTCAGATGTGGGTCCTTTGCACAAAGTCTCCAAGAAGTCCATTTATTTCTATCAGCTGGAGGAGGCAAGACTTTGATACACCGCGACCCTTACAGCACTATCCATTGTGTGTTTAATGGAAGTAAAGACTGGTTAATCATTGACAGAGATCAGACTGACCTTATATACATGTCTGAAGACTCACAATATGAACTTGGGGGTTACTCATTAGTAGATGTGGACTCAGTTGACCTTTTAGAGTTTCCAAAAATTAGAGATGTAAGATATTCTAAGGTTACTATGAACAAAGGAGATTGTATATTTGTACCTGGTGGTAAGTTTGTATGATTTTTTAAACCTAATTATTGTCTTGTTTAGTGTATGTAAAGCAGCTTTTATTTGTACAACCATTTAAAGCAGCCAACATTATTTACTGGCAAACTCATGATGACATTTACTATTGTTTCCCATTAGTGGTTGAAGTTGCAATTTAGCAGAAATAGTGAGCAATATTCTAACAAAGTCTTCTTTTTCTCAAGGAACATGGCATCAAGTCAGATCAAGAGGGTACATGAATTCAGCTGTTTCTATTTGGTTTTCACGCCTTTATAGTTTCGACGACAAGGGATGTGATGTTGCCAATATTGACTTCACATCTTTAAATAATGTTCAAGTCCTGTGGCGGTTCTCAGGACATGGTACACTTACACAGGGCCATATGGATGTCCATTTTTTGAGGTGGTTGTTAGTGACATCTGCCGACAGGGAAGGGAAAATTGACATTAAAGAATTCACCAGGCACTTTTTTACAACACACAAAAAAACCTCAAAGTCAGGTCTTCTGGAAGGGAGCATTGCAGACAGAGCAAAGAAATTCATTGAATACATTGACCCTGAAAACACTGGGTATGTATAACATGTGTTTGGTCTCCCTGTGGAATGCCTCTTAGGTGAAAATAAGAATGGGTGATGCAATTACAGTGTATGAAGTTTGATTCATTTTGTGTTTCTGCTTGACAATGCAGATTTATCTCAAAAGAAACAGTTGAGAGCTTCTCTCTTGAAAAAATGAAGGAAATCCTTGTGAAATTCTTTGATCCTTGTGATGTAAGCAACACAGAAGACTTTGAGTACAGTCATATTGAAGTGAAAGATATCAAGTAAGAAATTATAGTGATGATGATGCAAAGACCAAAGAAAAAAAAGACAATAGTCTCTTTCATATTTGCTGATGATATCTTGAAAGGCAGGCATAACTTTGCATTGAGCTAAGATTGTTGTTGAGTCTCACCTCAGTGCAAAGGTGAAGTTACTTTCAAGGTGTCGCAGGGAACTGTGATGGAGACTATTATGCATAATGACGGTTTGTGACAAGGAGAAAGAAGACAATAGGCAGTGTCATAATGTTTTTTATATTTTTCAGGACAGCTTTGTCTTTGTCTTTGGATGACATGGGGTATTTTGATCCAAAAATATTCTTGGACAATTATCAAGAGGTACAGCTATATAGCTATTCTTAATTGTGAAAAATTGTACTTTTTCTGGTTTAAATTTGATTTTTTGTACAATTTCATTTGTAGATTGGAGGAACACTAGCTAAAGGCAATGAGGTACAGGGGCGAATCCAGGATTTTTTTAAGGGGGGGAGGTACCAAAATGATGCAAACTTTTGACGGGAAATTTGCATGACTGTCTGATTAGTTTGGAGAACGTATTAAATATTCTTGGATTCTTGGATGTTGTAAAATATTACACAGCTACTGCATGCAGTATTCTTGGAGGTGTCAAAATGATTTTATCTTTCCTTCTTCTTTTGTTTGTTTTTGTTTTTGTTTATGGTTGACTTCTCACCATTTAGATCTTGGCAAACCTTGGAGTAAATGGAAAAACAGCACTGCAAGGAATAATGGAGAAATCAGATGCAGCATTGCAGAAATTTCATACTTCATCAGTTCATGATCCTTCCTTTGAGCACAAGATGATAAAGCACCTTAGTAAACATGAAGAATTGTAATTTACACTTTTATTGCTTGGAATTAGAAGAGAGTAACTGGAGTGAACACACCATTTACTTAATCACACAAAATAGAGCAAAAGAGGCTTATTAGTTAACTTTCACTGCGCTCAGTCTAAAACCTATAAATAAACAAATATTGCTCCTACTGCTAATTAGTCCTAATTAGTGTTGAAAACAAAAGAATTAGCATAATTTAGTACTATTTTATACTATTTTTGTTTCACGGATAATTTGAAGTAAATTTGCTCTATTTAATATATTTACAAAGTATCCATATCCAGTTGGAGAAAATTCACTGAAGTATTTGTTTATTCATTTAATTAATTATTTATTTCTATGTGCAAATTGGTGAATAATCAGTTGAACAGCAAGCACTGATTTACATGTCAAATTATGATAATTGATCTATAAATAATGTGAGGAATAAATTGTGTAGTTCCATGAATGGGTTTGTTTGCCAGAATCCCAGCAATAAAGATGAAACAAATGATGAATGAAAACAATGACTGTTTATTCATTAACAATTTTCTTTTAATTTTGGAATTGAAAAATATAGCTCGTGAATATTAAAATCTTGACGGGGCTCATTTAGCACGTGAAAAACGCGTGACGCTAAGAGCCCAAAGTATTATGGGTATTGGGGATGACTTGCGTTTGGCRCCCACAATGCATAGCGTGCAAGGAAGGCGAATTGYGAACACGTTCAKSAAGTGATCTCACATCTCCGCTATTTTGATGATTATGTCTTTAACTGTACWGTAGACTGTGAATTATTTTATAACTGTAATATGTAAAAGATTCTAGTATGATATATTTGAAGTCCCTTCATCTTGAGCGAATCTGTGGAAAACGATTTYTCTCGACATTGTTCAAGGCCGAGATAGTTTCGAAGGAGATTCCCCGAATTGCAGGTAAAATTCGTATTTCTGTTCATTTAAACCGTTTCTGTATCGCCTTTGTTCARTTTRAATTATAAGGAATCGATGTTTTATTCCCCATTTRATCAATTTTTTTCGGTTTTATGTTATGTAAGAAGGTGCAAATAATGTAGTCCCACAGCAAAACCTACGCAGTATAAATGTCGCCTTCTGATCCACTTGGAAATTCCTTGGATCCTAAATCATCAGTAATTATAGATTTCTATAGCAATTCACAAAATATTGAGGTCTATGTCAAATGTACATTTTCTATTGATTGAATACATGTACATATATTATTTGTCGACTTTTTTTCTCTCAAGCTTTTGTAGCTGCATTTTGTCTCGACATTGTGGCTGTTGAAGAGAGCGTCTTTACGGAACATGCTGCGTTTTGTGCTGCTTTTATTAAACCAATAAATAAAAAGAAGAAAAATTTGCTGTATTTGATAAATCATGTTTCATAGCACCGCCATTTTTCTGCGTTCAAACAGGAATTTMAAACATTCATTAACTGCGACAAAAAATACTTTTTTAAAAATTTTATGATATTAAATATAGACAAATGTTATTTTCCATTGATATTTCACTTTAGATCGCTTTCCATTTTGTATCGATGTCATATGACTAAACGTTTTGAGCATTTTGGTATATATTCTTTGATTTGAAGCAGAGATAAAGGATGTTGATTACATAACAGAGATCTTGCACACTCAGAGAACACACAAGTCATCCCATTGCTTGTCAAATAATAGTTTGTGGTTCAAGGGTTGGGATGTTCAACTAACAACCTGTTTTGCTGCTATTGTTCCTGGGTTATTTCACTTTACYAGCTTAAATTTCATATTTAGTTTTTGACTAAATATGTACACAATACTATTTTTTACAAATTCTTTGATCAGAGCAAAAAAATCTGTTATTTAATTTTCATCCTGAGAAAAATAGCAATAGTTTGTTTTGACTGAGGAAGAGATTTATCAAAGACACTCAATATTTCATATCTTATATGTAGTTAGTAAATCAACATGTGTGCATTTTTGGCCTCTTTTTTTATGAATCCACTAGTTAATACTGTGACTTAGTTTTGTCTTTGCAAAGTACAAACCATTCATTAATAATGTATTATTCCTCTCTTATTTAGGATTGTAACTACTGATCTATAATATGTCAAAAGAGAACAACAACCAATCTCATCCATATCCTTCAAACATGCCATTTAGAATGGGATTACCAATTCCAGTCTTTCCTCCTCATATGGGACAGTTTATACCAATGGGAGTAATGCCAGTCAATGGTAGCTTGCAAGGTTATATGGGAGATGCATCAAAGAGTGGTGTTCATAGTATTCTTCCTGGTTCACCATTTGAWCACCAATCAACACCAAAACATTCTGAGAGTTCTATGTTAACACCAACAAATAGTCAAACTTCTCCAATATTGAATGCAGAAACAAGTCAATCTGGTCCTTTTCCAAGTGGGACAGATACCAAAGAAGTCCTTTATCCTCCAATGCTTGGACCATTTGGTAGAGCAGTTGTACCAATGATGCCTTCAGTTGTTTTTCTACCATATTTTCCTGGATTTACTGGACTAATTCCAAATTATTCTCAATATCCTTCTATTAAAAGTTCAAATCTACCACCAAAAGACTTYGAAAGTAATCAAGAMAAAAACTCCAACAATAAGACAGAGTCTAATATTTCTGAGACAGGCTCAGATGAACTTGATGTGGCACAAATTCTTGTTGATATGCAAGGTCCTTCAAAATATAACACAGACTTTGAACAGAGATCTGAAGCTGATAACGAATTAAGTCATGAATCACAAAGTGGTGTTTCARTTGCTCATTTGCCAAGTYCTTGTCACCAAAGTTTAAATAATGAAGTTGAAATGAATAATGAAGAAAAATCTGAAAATTCAAATGATGCTGAACAAAGTAGTGTCAATGAATGTATTGTTGAAGAAATTGATAGTGGTCAACAACCCATWAATGAAAATGATGATGCTCCATTAGAAATGAACATTGAACATAGTAGTTCCAACAGCTTCAAGGAMACACCRATTCAATTGGACAACACAGAGAAGGYTTCACATACTGAGATAAAAACTGAAAACAAAGAATGTAATAATTYAGCACCRCAYAGTGCAGCAGTTGTGCCMAATGATGACAAGATGCAAACTGAAAACAGTTCATCAACCATGGATGAGGTTCAGCAAGATGTTTGTTCAGAAAATAACCAAATAAATCATTTTGATGAGTTGGAATATCCAAAAAGTTGTGATGTTATCTCASAGRAAACTATTRTTGAATCACATCCACATGAACATAATTCAACATCACCTGACCAAGAAATTAGTAGTAGCACTAGTCTAGGAAACCATGACAGTCAGGACATAAAAGATGAAGCTACTGACCAAATTGCTCACTTGGAACAAGAAAACCTAAACAATGAAAACATTTCTGTAACTTCAGAATTAGGAACTAATGAAGAATTGTCCAAAGAAGATGCTAGTTGTTTGAAGGAGACATTCAAATGTGATGTGTGTTCGCAGCTATTTCGAAGTCCTCTTGGACTTCAAAAACATATAGAGTTTCACACAGATGATAGCCATCTTTATACATGTACCATTTGCTTCAAACATTTTCATGATGAAAGCAGTCTACAGACTCATCTTAACACTCACACCAAGAAGCGACCACATAAGTGTTCATTTTGCCCTAAAGCTTTTCGTGATCCTGGTTCATTACAGAAGCATGTGCGGGTTCACACAGGAGAGAAACCATACAATTGTAAAGATTGCTACAGGTCATTTGCTGAGTATAGCTCACTGCGCAAGCATCAACGGGTACATACTGGTGAACAGCCATACAAGTGTCAATATTGCTCCAAAGCTTTCTCAATCTCAGGCAATCTTCAAAGGCATATTCTTATTCACACTGGAGAGCGGCCTTATAAGTGTAGTTTTTGTCCAAAAGCATTTAATAATCCTAGTCATCTGCGCCGCCATGTAAAAAACCTTCACTTTAAGGGTGACTCTGTTATTGATGAAGCTATGCTTAGTCACTATGGCAACCCTGTTGCTAAGGCTTGTGATGAACCAATTGAAGAAGTCATTGTGGAAACAACCCCTGATACTCATGGTGAGGTACTGTCAGAGAGTACTGATCAAAACACTGCAACACAAGTTTAGTCTAACAAATATCTAACATTGCAACACAAGTTTAGTCTAACAAATATAGTGCATTTTTGTGGATAGTTTAGTTAAAATCAGACATATCACAATAGTTGCTCATAATTCTTATGAGCTTTGTATGTATATAATGAGTTTTGTGGTGATATTTAACATGAATATTATATGGTTATTCTCAACAAAATATTTTGAATCATGACCTGTACAGTATTTGTGACAAAATGGTTTACAAGACATGCTTATAATGTTTCAATAAAATTGTGCAATCATTCAAGTTTAGTCTAACAAATATAGTGCATTTTTGTGGATAGTTTAGTTAAAATCAGACATATCACAATAGTTGCTCATAATTCTTATGAGCTTTGTATGTATATAATGAGTTTTGTGGTGATATTTAACATGAATATTATATGGTTATTCTCAACAAAATATTTTGAATCATGACCTGTACAGTATTTGTGACAAAATGGTTTACAAGACATGCTTATAATGTTTCAATAAAATTGTGCAATCATTCAATTAATTTCCTCGTGTTAAAGCCCAGTTCAAATTGTTGATTTCTGAGGCAACTTTTGCTTAGATTTTTCAGGCAATTTTCAAAAATATTATAGATTTTGTCTTATCCATGTGAAGAGACATTTAGAAAGCTCATCTCAGTACTGAATAAAATGTTTTAAGTTAATTTGYTAAACATTGTTCACTAGGGTCAAAATGACCAACAAAATTAAAGCAAAAATCCCGTACAAATCATCATAAAATCATTTCTGTGAACTGGCTATAAAAATGGTTGCTATAGTGATTTTGAGATGTTGCTATCAGAATGTAATAGACACTRTATTGCAGGGTTTTATTGAACTAAGCAATTGTCACCAAACAGGTTTTGTAAAATAGATTTAATTTTGAATAATTTATCATCTAGTTAGACAATAAGCAACATTGTAACAACAGCAATATATAATGATAATATAATACTTGCAAGTAATTTATTAGGATGAGTTAGTGATTTCATGCTCACAAATCCTTATCATTGGATTTTATTACCAATTTTATAWGCTTTCTAATGCTAATGTAAACTAAGTAAATTGCACACACTGCAGAAAAAAAATTAAATGAATTTTTCTCTTTTATTGTTAATGTGTTTTTATTACTAATTTCTCCTCTGGTACATTTTTAAATCACTTTCTCTACTCTTCTACATGCATTCAAACCGCAGTTAACGTATTCGGATAATCTATTTCAACAAACTACGTCATTTAGTTGGTTTTCCTGTGTAATTTATGCAGGGCATACTTTTCAAAATGAACCAAGATGGCGTCCAGTTCTTTTCCTTGGTTACCGTTTACACTACTGATATCTATCGTTTTCCAAGGTTTGTGTGCGTCATGTTTACAAAAAATACCTCGTTTATCAACTATACATTTGATTTAGCTTTC